AAAACCCCCAACGATGCGAAAAATAGTTTTCTTTCGGGATTTTTTTATTTTAACATTGTATACAGGGCGTTGTCAAAAATAGAAGACCACAAAATTTCTTCGTTTATATATATATACAGGGCGTTCCAAAAAGTGTTAATTTTTTTTTATTTCAAATCTGCGAAAAACACCGTGTTTGGTGTCTTTCTTTATATTTTCGGGTGTAAGGAATCGATTGCGCCTATTGCCGAAGCGATCCGAGTGCTCCTGATCGATTAACTCCGACGCTGGAAAAAACAGTCCTTTTTCGGGTTTTTCGAATATAACTTTGTGTAAAGGGTTTTCTCACAAATAAAAAATTACAAATTACCGTTTTTTTTTATATACAGGGTGTTTCAAAAACATTTAATTTCTTAAAAAAATATATATTTATTAAAGGTGCCTTTTTGCATTCTGATTTTTTTTACAGGGTTTCATTATTTTTTGTGAAAAAATAGACGTTTTCAGGTTCGAAAGGCATATATCGACATATATACAGGCCGTCCTCAAAAAAATTCTCTTCCATAACCGATCGATTTTAAAATTTCTTTTTTAACACGAGGTCGATATAAATGTACCGAATCGATATATTATGTACTGCATATTCCGGTTTTATATACAGAGCATTTCGTAAAACGGGTACGTTTTTTTTTAAATTCTGTTTCGTATGTTTTTGCGGGTTTTTCGATTTTAACTTTGTATACAGGGCTTGGTAAAAAATACAAAACTGCAAAATTTCGTCGTTTATATATACAGGGCGCTTAAAAAAGTGTTACATTTTTTAAAACCAACTGCGAAAAGTGGTCATTTTTTGTAGAACAATTGACGTTTTCAGGTCGTATGTCCTCAATAGCTGCCACCACTTTCCCCAAATCGCCAAACGAGTGACCGCCTATCCGTTTCAACATTTTTTTCCAAGCGGGAAGATGCGTGGCCGCAGGCCACGCCGTTCTGCCACCGCCGAAGCCGCCCGGGGTGGGCGAAGCCGCCCGCGGGGTGGGCGCAGCCGACCCCGCCAGCCTCGCAGAGCTAGGAAATTAATCTCTGCCCGTAGGGCAGAGTTAATTTACTAGTTAATAATAATAAAATCCGTTTATGTCAAAGTGTTTTGTCCTGCTTCAATCGAGGCCGGAAAATGTGCAAAAGCACCGCCACAAAGGCTTTTTCCGCGAGCCGAATCCAACCGCGAAGCGGTCGGATTCGGCAAGCCCCGTTGATTCCATGCACCATAGGCGTGTTTCCGCAGTCCCAGCTCGCCGTCGAGACACCTAAATTAAAGTTTTTGCGAAGCCCTGCGGCGACCCCGTTCATCTAACATCTCGCTCTAAACAAACGAGCAGCGACGGGTATAAGTGAGCCAAAAAAGAGCCCGTCTTCCCGCGCGGCGACGCTCTTAAGGAGGCGTCCGATGCGGAATCTGTTTGAAAGGTCGTCTCCGTCGATTTTTTTTCGCGAATTTTGATACCTCTACGGAAGCTCTACGACGTATATTAAGAAAGTTATTAGCCTACAACGGGAAAGGGGAAGGAGTTGGGGCCTTCCGTGTTATGCGAAAAAATTCTGACTTTTATAAGTGTTAAATAAATTAATTTGTCAACGGCTAACCTCGAAATCGAAATCTCCAAGTTTGTACGTTCATTACCGGTAAGATTCGCACATCCAAAGCTGCGGAAGGGTCCCACGATGAATTTCGGCGCCGTTAAAAACCTCCGATGGCCATTTCGGAGCCGGCAAAAGTGAAAAATCGCAAATGACCGTGTTCGGCGGATAACCTCAATCCCGCAGTAGACCACTGACCAAAGCGAAGCGGACAGAGTGCACACCTGAAATAAAGACGGTATAATTTTGACGTGCGTGTGTTATAGACACCTAACCTAGAAACTGATTTCGCAAACTTTATACGGCCACTGAGGGCCGGATTCGCGTACCTGACGCTCCAGAATGGTCCCGCATGAACTACAGGCATCGCTAAAAACCTCCGATAGCTTCTGCGACACCGGAAAAAGTAAATAATCACGGATAAACGTCGGTGACATATAACCTTATCCCTAAGAAAAAAAGAACAGACGGAGTGCTCACTCAGAGTAGTTCAAATGTCCCGTAGGCGTTCGCTGTTTTTATAACCTAAAAATTCGTTTAGTTCAAATGACCCGTAGGCATCCGCTGTTTTAATAACCTCAAAATTCGATGACGGCCAAGGTCTTATAACAGTAGAGGTCGTCCTGTTCCGAAACGGGGCGAATGTGTCGTAATACCAAATGTATCGTTTTTTTCCGAAAAACCCCCAAAGCGACAAAAAACCCCCAATTTTTTTTTTTTTTTTTTTTTTTTCCTCGTGGGGGGGAAACCGGGGGGGGGCAGAAACAGACACCGATGCTTTTGGCAGCGAATCTGACTTAATGCAAAACAGTTTTTTATGGAAATAAAATGTTTATCTTTGGTTTTAAACGCCGTGTTTGAGTTTTTCCATATATTTTCTGGTGCGTATGACCATCGTGTTTGATGTATTTACTTATATTTTCAGGTTCAAGGAATCGATTGCGACTATTCCTGAAATGATCCAGGCATTCCCGACTTTGCCCGAATTATCCCGATTTTGCCCGAACTCTTCCGAAGGCTAAAAACGCCGTGTTTGGTGTCTTTTCATATATTTTTGGGTGCGAGGAATCGATTGCGACCATTCCCGAAACGATCCGAGCCCCCCGATCTTTACCGAACTCTCCCGAAGCCTAAAACCGCCGTGTTTGGTGTCTTTCCTTATATTTTCAGGTCCAAGGAATCGATTGCAACTATTCCTGAAATGATCCGAGCACTCCCGACTTTTCCCGATTTTGCCCGAACTCTCCCGAAGGCCAGAAACACCGTGTTTGGTGTCTTTCCATATTTTTTCGGGTGCAGGGAATCGATTACGACTATCCCCGAAACGATCCGAGCACTCCCGATCTTTCCCGAAGCCTAAAACTACCGTGTTTGGTGTCTTTCCTTATATTTTCAAGTCCAAGGAATCGATTGCAACTATCCCCGAAACGATCCGAGCACTCCCGATCTTTTCCGAACTCTCCCGAAGCCTAAAAACCACCGTGTTTAGTGTCTTTATTTATATTTTTAAGTCCAAGGGATCGATTGCAACTATTCCTGAAATTATCCGAGCACTCCCGACTTTTCCCGAATTTTCCCGATTTTGCCCGAACTCTACCGAGGGCCAGACACACCCTGTTTGGTGTCTTTCCTTATATTTTCGGGTGCAGGGAATCGATTACGACTATCCCCAAAACTGATCCGAGTCCTCCCGATCTTTCCCGAAGCCTAAAACCCCCGTGTTTGGTCTCTTTCATTATATTTTTAAGTCCAAGGAATCGATTGCAAATATTCCTGAAATGATCTGAGCACTCCCGACATTTCACGAATTTTCTCGACTATGCCCGAACTCTCCCGAAGGCTAGAAACACCGTGTTTGGTCTCTTTCCTTATATTTTCGGGTGCAGGGAATCGAGTACGACTATCCCCGAAACGATCCGAGTCCTCCCGATCTTTCCCGAACCCTCCCGAAGCCTAAAACCTTCGTGTTTGGTGTCTTTCCTTTTTTTTTTTACGATTTTGCCCGAACTCTCCCGAAGGCCAGAAACACCATGTTTGGTGTCTTTCCATACATTTTTAGGTGCGAGAAATCGATTGCGACTATTCCCGAAACGATCCGAGCCCTCCCGATCTTACCCGAACTCTTCCGAAGTCTAAAACCACCGTGTTTGGTGTCTTTCCTTACATTTTCAGGTACAGGGAATCGATTTGGACTACTCCCGAAGCGATACAAACACTTCCGAACTGTCTCGATTTTTCCCGAGCTCTCTCGAAATATAAATAACTCGCGAACAGTAGCAGCTAGCGAAACCGCAGAGGTACTATTGGATTCAGCGGGATCCTCTTTACCAGATATCAACACTAATATAGGGTGTCCCAAAAAAAGGAAAAAAAATCAAAAAATTTCGAAAAACCTCCATAACCGCCCCCAAGTTTTAAAATTTATATTCTTGATATTCGTAGTTAATGTTCATAGTTTAAAATAAATCGTTTGTAAATGAATTATTTATTCAAAGTGCATTTCATTTCTTTAAGAAAACAGAAGAAGATGTGATTGTTACATGCTTCATGAAAGCCGACATAAAATGTGTTTCTAACTTATAAAATAAGAAGTGGGTGTTGCTATTTGAAAAAAAACGTAGTAATGGCAATTTGTTTTTTGGAAACTGAAATTTTCTAAAATTTTGCATAAAAATGTTATGACACTTACTTAGTTAAAATTTGTAATAAAAATTTTTAATTAGCATTAAGAGTACCGTTGTAACATTGATGTAGTAAGGACTGGTGTATAAACTTTGCTGGTTTATGAATGAATGGAAGTAATCCAAAATCCTTTTCGAGTAGGCGGGTTTATGACGGCCTCTTGTTGAATATTGCCGATAGGAGGGCGCGACATACGCATTTCTATTTCAAAATCACATTTTAGTGACCTACTTTACCATCCATAATTTGACAGTACATAAGTGTGAAAATAAACAGTAAAGTAGGAACGGGTACGGTTGAGCCTGGGGAAATTTTGTGGACCGTGAAACTTTTAGTAGGTATGGTGGTACAATTTTGATTATCGGCATATATCAAAGGAAGCTGCCCGCAGTCGTGGGAACTTTTTAATTGTCGGCAGGCCTTTGTCGGCAAAGATCAAAGGGTGCCGCCCTACAGGTGTTAATTAATAGTGTGCACAGGTAGGTATGGTATATTTGATTGACAGCTGTCTTTGGCGGCATGTCAAAGGAAGAGCCGCCCGCTGATAGGTGTTATTAATTGGGTCATTGATCTTTTGTTCGTCGTCTTCTGTCGGCATACAGAAACCACCTAATAGGTGTTAATGGTGTTTATTTGTCTATATTATCATTCCGCGCATATAGTGAATTTTCAAACACAAGTACTATTAATGAAAAAAAGCTTACTTCGAGCGGGCCTAGAACCCGCGACCTTTAGATCTCAAGCCCGACGCTTTAGCGCTGAGCTATCGACCAACTTATGGGTGGCTTAGCGGAAATGTGTATGGTATACGGATCGGTTTCAACCGCTGCTGTTACATTTCAAGCGACGAACAGACGCACTGGCGGTGTTATTTTTAAAGAACCACGGATGATTTGATTGAAATTTGTTGTTTATTTGTCTAAAACATTATTTATAGTGTGGCAAACGGATCTGTAACAGCCAAAGGAATTCGACGAAAATATTCGATATTGCCACGTTTAACTACAAAAAGGCAATATGTACTGGGAATAAAGTAATGTTCATTTGAAAATCGATTTTTTATAATCACAAATATTGACAATGAAAAAAGCGAATTTTAAAAGAGTATTTTAACGTGGTTGTTACTTTTATTTTTATTTAATAACTAGTTTTCTAGTACTAAATGTTATAATAGGCAAACAATTTTTCCCAAGATATTATCGGCTTCAAGTGAACCCGGCAACACCACGCGAAAGGAGTGTCCAAGCGCATCTTGAACTAGCCGAATTGGTGGCGATTCCTCGCACGCTTACTTGTTATGCGGAAATCGGACACGCAATTGGCTTTTTGTTGCCTAGGAATAGGGATTGAAAGATCCAGTGACAGGATTTTTATCTTTGACAATTTGTTGTGTCAATTGCATTCCCCTTACCGATGCCGCGCTGTTACAGATCCGTTTGCCACACATTACGTATTCAAATTCATAAAAATCGCTTTTCAAAAATTTTGTCGCCTACGATGTTTTGGCAAAAACCAATCGATATTCTACACATCAATTAAGCATGCATAATGTGTAAAATTCTTTGTCGAATAAAAACAGGTGTAGTCCGCGCGTGTAGAGCTGAATAAGAATACTCATGTTTTATATAAATGCAGACAATGTCACAGGTTATACAAAGCCTTCTAATACAAAAAACTAAGTCTAAAACATAAAAGTATGTAAATTAATATGATAATACAGACAAATGGGATAAATGTGTAGATCAATTTTAAACACCATCACCTTCATTTAATTCCAATAATAAATCATTCAGTAAAGCCCTACAAATAGGGACATGCCAGCAACGTATAAATTAAAAGATACTACTTGTGCGTGTACTAGTATGTGTGTGTGTGAGTGCGCCCTACTTGCAGCGCCTCCCTCAGCCGTCGAGCGGCCGCGTTTCGAACTACAGAGATCCGTTAGACTGATAAGCACCTTACATCGTTAGGAAATGTCTCTGCGCGCCCTACTTGCAGCGCCTCCCTTAGCCGTCGAGCGGCCACGTTTCGAACTACAGAGATCCGTTAGACTGATAAGCACCTTACATTGTTGACCCGTGAAATGTCTCTGCGCGCCCTACTTGCAGCGCCTTCCTCAGCCGTCGAGCGGCCGCGTTTCGAACTACAGAGATCCGTTAGACTGATAAGCACCTTACATCGTTAGAAAGTGTCTCTGCGCGCCCTACTTGCAGCGCCTCCCTCAGCCGTCGAGCGGCCGCGTTTCGAACTACAGAGATCCGTTAGACTGATAAGCACCTTACATCGTTAGGAAATGTCTCTGCGCGAATTATGTTGATTGATTGAGTCTTAGGATTTTTAAAAACAATTTTACAAGTTTGAGTTTATTCGTCGGAAGCTGGAATAATACTAATCTACAATGGTATAATCATAATGCTTGTTGAACATGGTGTGATAAAACTGCATGCATATGTTTTCTTATCTTCGTGGTGTCGGGTTCCAGTTACAGCGTCGGTGTCAGCGGGTTGAATGACATAACTCCTCCGCCCCTTAAAGAGAACTATGGGGTGACAACAGAGTTCACTAGTCCTATATTCCTGGGGTTGACCTTCGGCATTTCAATTGGTGGGTTTTCCTGGGTCCTAGGAGGTTTGGCTCGTCGTACATAACATCGATATATTACTAGAATTATTAAAGTTATAGCTGACAAAACATATAACAATACTGTATAAAAACTGGTTTTATGGAAATGTATTGGCGCCTCACTGATACTGTCTAATTTGGTTTTTTGTTCACTTAATGCACTACGAATGTTTTTAATTTCGTCTAGATTCGTAGTTTTTATTTCGATAGGTTTATAATTATTATTGAACTGGCTCTGTTTTGAAAAGTCTTTAATAAATTGTATGGCTGGTAACTTTATTTGTTTAAAGGTAGATTTTGTATTTTGAAATGTTTTGATAACAGTATCCTGTATTTTGATTTCGCATTGTTTCGTAAGTTCAATCACATAACTTCCGTTGAGTGGGACGTTTTCCTTGTTGTGTCCGCATATCTGATGGGCAACGATATGTTCGGGAGTAATAATTATCCACTTGTCCTTTTCGATTTTCTGGATTTTAAGGCCTGGCAGTTTAACCGGGGTATATTGGCAGTTTGTAGCATTATCTTCGTATATTAGTAGTTGAACTTCACAGGGGATGTCCTGATCAATTATATTGGTGTTGACTTGTTGACAGAGAAATTCTTCTGGAACGACTTCTTGGCATTTGGCATCCGAAAACGAGTAAGTTCGCTCATTGAGGAGGAGGTATTTAGCATGGGGTATGATGGTTTTAAATGAACCGAGAATTGGAATAGGTAAGGAATACAAATGATAGTAATTGTAATTTTCTGACTCGACGATGGGTATTTCTAGAATAAAAATTGTCTGATTACCTTTATTATAACTTTTAATTTCCATGATTTTTTCGAATGTTAACATATTCTCTATAATTGGCTCAAATGGTAATTTATTTCTTATCAGCAGGATTTCTGAAAGAAGATCTGCAGGTTCTGTTATGGAACTATGAAACGTGTTTAATTTGGAAAAGGTGATAGCTACTTGAAGTTTTTCAAGGATATCATATATAATTTGGTAAGAAGTAATCGTTTGAAACATCAGGGTTTGTAACAATAGGTAATAGCGCATTTTATTGTTATCTGTTTCGGTATTTTTTATTAATTTTTCTATTTCGGTTAACCGTGACTTAAAAATTATTTGGTTTGACATAAGAATTTCAATGTTGTTTTGAGTTGCGGTTATTGATGTTTGCAGTAAAGAAATCTGGTCTTTCAGTACAGATTTTATTTTAACCTGATTGTCTGTCAATGCCGTAATCGCTTGATCATACCGTTCTGCATCGCTTTGGTCTAAATTTCCTGTTATAGATTTTACTATGGAACCAAGTCCATTTATTAAGCCTCGCTTGGCTCTTTTAGGAATTGGGTTTAAGTGGTTAATTTCGCTTGATATTTTGCTTTCAAGTGCAAAGATGAGATGACAGGAGTTAATATATTCTTTGTGATAAGCAGGGTCACTGGTATAGTTTTTTATCACTGTGCTGAGTTTTCTAAATGAACTTCTAAGGGTGTGATATTCTTCTATTACGGTGCTAACGTCATAAATTTGAATAAAGCTCCAATGATCGATTACATTTTGGGCATTCCCCAATTTTAGAGGTACAAGGCCGGGATTGTCTATGAGGCTATGGAATTTTGGATATTGTGTAAAGGTTAGGACGATGCTAGATGAGACTCTGTAACAACAGAAGGTGTTTTTAATTCTTTTATATGAATGACTTCATCTTTATTGGTTTTACAGTGTTTAATTTTTACTTTGTTATTCTCTAAAATTTCGATAAGTTTATATGGGCCATTAAATTTATTTTCCTTTTTATTTCTCCTGTCCGAAGCTTTATATACGATCTGGTTTACCTTAAATTGAAACTGTTCAGGTCCTTTTTATATTTCGGGACTCTATTACATTACTTTTCTTAGTTTCGAATTTTCAGCAATATTTCTATAAAGTGATTTTAATTTATCGTTATGATTTTGAACATAGTCCGAATAATATGTTTTGTTTAGGAATTCACTTGGATCACGAGATTGGTGTGTCCAAGCACTAGTTCGTAGGGGGTAAAATTTGTTGTACTGTGTATCGAACTATTATAGGCAATGACGGCATATTTCATAATGAACGGATCGTCTTTATGTTTGTTACGTAAAAGTCTTAAATGTTCTAAAAGAGTCGAGTGATACCGCTCTACCGGTGAATTTGATTCGTGGTGTTTAGGGGTGGTAAAGTGTATATCAATTTTGTGGGATTTTAGAAGCTCTTTTACAGCTTCGTTGCTAAGTCACATCCGTTGTCCATGACAATTTTTGTTGGTAAACCGTAATAACTAAAGAACTCTGTTAAAGCATTACAAGCTTCGATAGCCGATGTGCCTTTGATTTGAATTGCTTGACCAAATTTTGAAAATTTATCTAATATTGTGAGGTAAACTTTGTTATCGAATTTAAAGGTATCCACGTGGATAATTTCAAATGGCTTCGATGGGGTTTCTGTGAGTAACAAAGGTACGTACGGGGGATTTCGAGAGTACTTAGAGACTTGACAAATTGTACAGTTATTAATATATTCATTCACATCCGATTTCATATTTATCCAGTAGTAATTACGCTTTAACTTTTCTAATGTTTCGTTTATTCCACGATGGTTACATTTACCTTCGTGTTGATATTTAATAAGCAATAGCTGCTCGTCTCTTTCTCGCACGTAATTAACGAGTTTGGTGCACCTTACTAATTTTAAACCCTTCTCATAAAATTTTGTCATATAGACGTGGTTGAAAATGGGCATAAGTGTTTCATCATAAAAGTATAAGTGAAATGTTTTTTCGGAGGTGGTGTAGTCTCTGAGAAATTCAAACACAGTTTCGTGATTTTTGGGAATTTTGACGTCTAAAATTTTAAGGTTTTGAAAGTCATTATTTTTTACTTGGAGGTTATTATGAACATTTGGTTTTTATTAAAATCTGATTATGCTTGTTATTTACTATTTCGTCTAATATTGGAATTGCATCGGATGTAGTTTCATTACTGCAAGAACGTGGGGTATCAATTGTCTGAACGTCGGGTGGTTTTACTTGTATGTCTTGGAGAATTTTAACACTTTTTTGTTTTGGGTA